GCTCGGTGATCTTTGTACAACCATCACCATGTCCACATTGAGAATATTTCCATCATCTCAAGAGAGCCCTCGTTTGTAGTCACCCTTGCCCCTAGGGTTCCTACCCTTCCACTTCATGCAACCACTACTATTCCTTCTGTCTCTATATATTTACCTTTCCTGTACATTTCATAAAGGAGCCTTCATGGCACAGTGGTTAAGTACTCAGCTGATAACCAAAAGGTCAGCAGTTCAAACCCATCAGCAGCTCCATGACAGAAAGATGTGGCAGTTTGCTTCTATAAAAATTACAGCCTTGGAAACCCTGTGGGCCAGTTCTACTCTGTCCTATAGGGTTGCTATGAGTTGGAATCAACTCAACAGTAATGGGTTTGTTTTTTTTTGCTTTGATGAATTTCATGTAAATGGAATCAAACAATATGTGGTCTTTTGCATCTAGTTTCTTTCATTTGGTATGCTTTTGGGTTTCATCCACATTGCAGCATGTATCAGTACATCTTTCCTTTTTATTGCTAAATAATGTTCCACTGTATGGATGAACATTCATCATTTGTTAATCCATTTATCAGGTGATGGACATTGATTCTATTCCTTGGTTATTATGAATAAAGCTGTTAAGAACATTGGTATAGGCATCCATGTATGGACATACGCTTTCATTCCTCTGGAGGAGATAGTTAGGAGTGGAATGGCTTTTTAAGAAACTGCCAAATCTTTCTGTGACTGCTCCAATTTACATTTCCCCAGCAATATATGATTGCTCCAGTTTCTCCATATCTTCACTAACACTCTTTATTGCCTGTCCTTTTTCTTTATTAGAGTTATGATAGTAAGTGTTCAATGGTATTGTAGTTTTAATTTCATTTCCCTAATATCTAATGCTGACCATCATGTGATTATCAGCCATTCATATATCTTCTTTGGTGAAATGTCTATTAAAATCCTTTGTCCATTTTTAAATAGGGTTATTCATCTTATTATTGAGTTGTAAAAATTCTTTATATATTCTAGATTTAAGTCCTTTGTCAGATACATGATTTGTAAATAGTCTTTTTGTGTGTGTGTGTGATTTGGGTGAAAATTTACAGAGCAAAGTCACTTTCCATATAGCAGTTCACATACACTTTGACCACAATTTACCACAATTTACCATGGCTTATCTTTTCATTTTCTTGATAATGTCTTTGAATAGCAAACATTTTTTTAATTGAATGAAGCCCTTTATTTTTTCTTTTATGATGGTCTGTCTAAGCACTCAGCCTAATCCAAAGTCATGAAGATTTTCTATTTTTCCCTCTAAAACTTTTACAGTTTTAGTGCTCCATTAAGCTTTGTAATCTATTTTGAATTAATCTGCATTTGGATATTCAATTGTTCCAGCACCACTTGTCAAAAAGACTCCTTTCTACCTAGGAGTTTTCTTAAATTATATTTTAAAATATGTATTCTATTAAAATATTTTCATTTTCCATTTCAGGGGCTCCACTTATGGGTTTAATGACCTCCTTGGTTTTCTTCTATATATCTGTCATTTTCTTCCTGTTCTTTTTTGACTCTGTTCCATTTTGTTTTGGTCACTTTTCTTCTTTCTCTCCTTTATGTCCCTTACTGAATTTTCTGGAAGGTCTAAACTTCTCTGGGCTTCTCCTTATGTTATCTTCCTTTCTATGATGTTTTTGTTTTTTCTTCTACTTCTTGTCTGAGTTCTACTGTCTCACATTTCCTCATCTGTGTCCTGAATTTCAGGGAGTATATTTTTGCTGGCTCTTTCTGTAAGGTGCACCCATGGAGCAGTGTGTCCAGTAGCCTTCCTCTCCATTCCCTTCCCCCCAGGTGGCTTCAGCTGCACTTCAGGGCTTCTCCGGTGATCACAATTGTTTTTGGCAGTCCTTATGTATATTTTGAGTCTGCAGATTATATCGGTCTCCTTGTTTTGCTGAAAGCAGAATTATTTTCCTTCTCCTTGTTGCTTTTGTACACTATCCAGGAACAGAAAAGGAAAATTACCAACTCTGATCCCCACACTTATACCTGAAAACTCCAGTCACTGAGCCACACTTATTTATTGTTTTAATGATTTATTCAGTGCCAGGGTCTGAAACTGGTGTCTTCCAACAATTCTAGAAAATTATAAGCCATTTTCTATTTGAAAATTACCTCTTCTTCTCTGTCATATCTCCTTCTGGAACTCACTTATTCTCTGTGGACCTTCTCATTCTGTCCTTTATATTTTCTAATCTCTCTCTCATATTTTCATCTTGTCATCTCTCTGGGCTGCATTCTGGATACTTCTAGATCTTCTCAGGAAGGTCTTAGGTAACCATTCTATTTAAAGTTGCAAACCACCCCTCCAGCTTGGCAGCTCCCTGTCTCTTTCTCCACTTTACTCTTTTCCACAGCATTTTTCACAATTGGACACACTGTATTTTACAAATTTATTCTGTCTTTTTATATCCACTATTTTTCAAATTTTTAAATAAACTGTTGGTCCAAGTAAAAAAACACACATATGGAAAAGTACACAAAGCAAAGTGTCCAGCTCAATAAATTACTATGAAGCAAACATACCCATGTAACAGCACTCAGATCACGAAATAGAGTAGCAACACTCCAGAAGCCCCTCATGCCTTCCCATCCTCAGCCCCCAACCAAGGGTAACCACTCTCTTAATCTCCAGTTAGTTTCGTCCGTCTTTTAATGTTAAATGAAAAAAATCATGTAGTATGAATTTTTGTGTGTCTAACTTTTTTTGTTCATCATTTTATTTATGAAATGCATCATGTTATTGGGTATAGCTGTAGCTCACCGATTCTCATAGCTATGTGCTGTTCTTTTACGTCAATATACCATAATTTACTTATCCCTTCTATTATTGAGGGATATTTTGCTTGTTTCCAGTTTTGGTGTTATGAATAGTGCTGTGAGGCATTGGTGGTTCGGTGGTAGAATTCTTGCCTTCCACGTGGAAGACCGGGACTTGATTCCTAGCAAATATTCCTTATGCACAGCCACCACCAGTCTGTCAATGGTAGCTTGTGTTGCTATGATATTGAATAGTTTCTGCAGAGCTTCCAAATTAAGGCAGACTAGGAAGAAAGACCTGGTGATCTACTTCTGAAAATCAGCCAGTGAAAATGATGTGGATCACAATGGTCCAATCTGCAACTAATCACGGGGCTGCCATTCCATTGTTCACAGGGTTGCCATCACTCAGAAACTAACTTAATAGCAGCCAGCAACAACTACAATGAATAGTGCTGCTACGAACATCTTTCTACATGTCTTTTAATAATGCTGAATATGCCTTTCTGCTGGGTGTTTTCCTAGGAGTGAAGTTGCCAGGTTAGGGAGTGTGTGTATTGGTACTAAGCTTCTCATCTTCTTGGAACTTTAACTGTGGGAATTCATTTAATTTTCTGCTTGACCTTCTTTAGACCACACAATTAGCATGGTCTCAGAATGAAAACCTGCATGAGGCTCCACTTTGGATTATAAATTTTCAGGAAGATTTTTTTCCCCTTCCACCCAGAATCAGTCTTAGAAACAGGCAGTATTCCTCACCGTGTCTTCTGGGTGGTGGATTATTTCTCACTGACCTTGTTCTGAAGTGTCTCTTGCTCTTCGGCAATGCTAGGCTTTCTCTCCTGCCCCCTATTCCCCTACATTTGCCAAACAGGAAGTGCAAGTTCTGCAAGATTTGCCAAAAACCTAGAGGACATAAGTCAGTTTTGGTGTTTGCTTACCTCACAGACTTTCTGCTTTTACTTTATTATTGGCTGCTGCTTCTTTCTTTTCTTTTTTTTAATTGTTATTTGGGTGAAAGTTTACAGATTGGTTTTCCAGTCAACAACTCATACACATTTTGTTATGTGACACCAATTGCAATCCCTACAATGTAAGAGCACTTTTCCTACTTCTTCCCTGTGTTTATCATTTCCCTTTATCCTTCTTTCCTATCCCTTCCTGCCTTCTAAGTTTTATCCCTGGGCAGCTGTTACCCTTTCGATCTCTTACAGTTGATTGTTCTACTGAGTGTGTATCTCCCTGGTGTTTACCTTATAACCTTGTCTTTCACTGAAAGTTGAGCCACTGGGGTGAGTTCAGTTCCACGCTTGAAATGTGTCTAAGGGCCATAGTCTTGGGGTCCCACCAGTCTCTATCAGATCAGTTGTTGTTGTTGTTATGTGCTGTCGAGTCAGACCCGACTCATAGCAACCCCTCCTTAGGTTTCCGAGATGGTATCACCACAGAAGTAGATTGCCCAACCTTCCTTCTGAGGAGTGACTGGTGGGTTTGAACTGCCAGCTTTCTGCTTAGCAGTCAAATGCCTTAGGTACTACACCACCAGAGCTCCTACAGTGAGAGACGACCTCCCAAAGTTCCTCAGACACCCCCCATGTTAGTTATCTAGTGCTGCTATAACAGAAATATCACAGTGGATGGCTTTAACAAACAGAAATTTCTTCTCTCACAGTTTAAGAGGCTAGAAGTCCAAATTCAGAGCACTGGGTCTAGGGGAAGGTTTTCTCTGTCTGTCGGCTCTGGAGGAAGGTCTTTGTCTACTTTTGTCATCTGTGGACCTGATGTTCCTTGGCAATCTCCACATGTCTTGGCATCGATCTGGCCCTGGGTCTGGGAGATTCTCAGCAAAAGGACCTCAGGTCCAAAGGAAAGGCTCTACTCCTGGTTCTTCTTTCTTGGTGGTAGTCAGGTCCCTCTCTCTCTGCTCAGTTCTCTCTCCTTTCATCTCTTATAAAATAAAAGATGGAGGCCACATCCCAGGGAAACTCTCCTTACATCAGATAAGAGCTGTGACCTGAGTAAGGAGGTTGCATCTCACTCTAATCTCATCACATCAGATCACATCATGGAGAATGATTATATCATTACATAACTGGCAAACCACTGAGAATCATGGCCCAGACAAAGTGAAAAATATTTTGGGGGGGACACAATTTAATCCAAAACACACATACACCCCATGTGTCTCTATGTCTCAGGGAACATCTACCATTATGTGCCCTGGTACAACACCAAGCCTGTTGTGGCAGTGACCTCATACTGGGAGGACGTCAGCTTCCGCATGAATTGCCTCAACCTCCTCCACTTTACTAGGGACCGCCTGGTGAGTAGTGCAGGAGATGGATGGAGGGAAGGGTTCAGATAATTGATGGGACAGTTTGGAAACTGAGTCACTGTCACAAGAAACCAGTCACACAGCTCATTCATGCATTCCATACTATTTGAGATGTGCCAGATGCAGTGCTAGGCACTGAAGACACAAATATGAATAAACACAGCTCTGTCCTCACCATCTGGTAAAGCTGAATTGTAAACAATTACTAATCAGTGTAATCAGGGCTATGATCTGGAGAAGAATATCATGCTCTAAAAGGGGGAAGAACCTCAACAAGATGGATTGACACAGTGGCTGCAACAATGGGCTCAGGCAGAGCAAGGATTGTGAGGATGGTGCAGGACCAAGTAGTGTTTCGTTCTGTCGTACCTAGGGGTGCTCTCAGTGAGAAGTGACTCAATGGCAACTAACAACAATGAATACAACAGGGCTGTGATGGAGATATAACTACTGAGAGCCATAGGGTCAGAGTTCAGAAGAGGAAATTAAAAAAAAAAAGGGATAGTCAGAGGAGGTGTTCACCAAAAAGGTGTCATTTGAGGGTCCTGAATGTGTAGGAATTTGCAGTACGGGATAAGGAAGGGAATAACATGTGCAAAATCATGGTGATGTACCAGTTTTTGAAGTTTATGGGGGGTGTGTATAGAGGTGTCGTGGGGATGAGGCCAGTGAAGCTGAGAGGGATCAGATCATGAAGGGTATTAAGTGTTTATCAAGAAGCATAGACCTTATGGAACAACTGGCTGGGTTTTAGGCAGGAGAATGACCTGATGTCTCCTGCCTCAAACATGATATTGTTGCACCTATAGATTTGGTGGGGAGCTGGGGTTGAGATTGGCCTTCTATGCTTTTTCTCAGTCCCACCCTATCCTGGCTCCCTTCTGCCATCCATTTGTTCTGGTGGGTACAGGAAGGGTGAGTGAATGTCCTGGCCTTGCAAGGGCATGGGACAGCCTTGGACTGGCAACACCAGGCTATCGCTCAGAGGTCCCCAAATCCTGACTAAAGACATTCTGGGCCAATCAGCCCTGTAGCCTGTCCCAGGTAAGGTCCATGCTGATGCCAGATCTCTTGCCATTTCTCTCTTGCTGGCCAGAAAGCCAATCTGGACACCCTGAAGTCCATGCGGAATCCAAAGGACCCAGCCCTGCTCCTCCAGTGGGAGAAGCTGCTAACAGAACTGGTGGAGGACTGCCAGTAGGAATGGGGCAGGGCTGGGTGCGGGCTGAGCTAGATCCAGCATAAGGGGGCTGGGTCCTCAGATTAAGAGCCACAGAACCTTGCCTCCTGAGATAAAGGAGCTCTGCTCAAATTCTTCCAGGTTTGAAATCCCAACAACAGTTACTACCCTCTGACATTCAGACTCTTAGAGAAAATGGCCCTCATCTCCCCACCCAGCACTGTCCTTTCTGTTGCCCCACCAGTGCCTGATGTACCCATGATATGGACCCTCTCTTTGTTACCCAGACAAGCCCTGATGGCTGGTCTCCATAGCATGCCCCCCATGGTCTTTCTGTCTAAATTGTCCTCTTCCAGGTCTCTGCCTGTCAAAATCCTCTCCCGACCCTGAACCCCGACTTTGATCCTGCCCCTACCTCCCCATCCCCGTGATTGGTTGGTCCCTGTCTCACAGCAAATTCTTCTCCCCAGTGAGGTCCTTGAATGAGGCCTGGCACATTGGAGGGGCTTGAGAGATGGGAGAGGGGAATGTAGAGGGACAGAGAGGCTAGACCCACAGTGACCAGGGCTTCCTATCAGAAGTGAAGAATCCTGGCCAGCCAGTGGTGGTTGGGGCAGGCATCTCAAGGCTAGGAAGAGCCTACTGGCTTACAAAAGGGTCAGAAGGTTGTATGAGACAGAAGAAAGGTCCAGTCTCCTCCTACCCCGTCCTGGCCACAGGCGCCCTCTGCCCTGCCTGGTTGATCAACCCAAAGCCACAGACCTGGATAAGAAGAGATGGGAGCTCCGCAGCCTTCTCCTGCAGGAATTGGCCAAACAGGCCAAGGAAGCCAAGCCCAAGGACATGGTGGCCACAGTGGAAGGCTGGCTATACCGCCTCAACTCTGTGCTCCCTGAGGTGGGCTCTAGAGACATTGGTGGAGAAGCAGGGCTCTGAAGCAGCCAGACAGAGCCTAATGCTCTCACACCTTGGCAGCCCCAGGTGAACATCCCAGATGTGATGATCTGGCTAGTGTCCAAGGACCAGCAAGTGGCTTATGCACAGGTGCCTGCCCACACCATCCTCTTCTCCCAGGCTGGGCCCCTGCAGTCTGGCAGGTTCTGTGGGAAGACACAGACACTCCTTCTACAGGTAAGAAAGAAAGGGGTCCTCAGGCCACCCCAGCACTCAAAAGAGAAGTGGACCTAGAAACATCCTCAGGGAGAACCCCCAAACTCTCAGAATGGTCCCTATAGAGCCTCCTCGAGGACACACCCTATATCCTCTCTCCCAGTCCATTTATCCAAGGTAAAATAGGGTTTGAACAGGCCCAAGAGGAAGGCAGGAGCCCATGGCTATTAACATCAAATCCATCTTTCCGATACATGGCCTTCAAATTCATTTCCTCCATCATTCTCACTGCCAGTACTTGATCTATTTGATCTTTGTCACCTCTCCCCTGGACCATGACTGAGTGATATTCAAAATATCTAAGAGCCTATAAGGTTTAGGCACCACCCAATCATATCAGACACAAGCCATAAATAAGACAGACTAAACACCATACCACCCCCACAACCCCCACTCTGACGATAGCCTTGAGGCAGGTGCAGGGGGAGTTACTCCACTACCTCCCTCAGAGACTCCTGGCCCCCCATTGTCTCCTATAGAGAAAGGTCAACCTCTTTGGTCTGGCCTCCAGCCATCCCTCCCTGCATCATCCCTCTCTGGACCATATTCTCTACAACTCGGCCACTCTGGACTTTCCCTGCCCCTCCCCACCATTGTAGAACCACTGGCTCTGCTGCTCACTGGCTTTTGTGACCATAAGCTAATTCCTGAATTTGTCTGCCTCAATCTTCCCCTCTGTAAAATGGGAGTGCTGATCTTGATGCCCACCTCAGGGTCGTATGTAAGGATGAAAGCATGCCTGGCACAAAGCAAGCACACAATAGCATTAACATTGCTACTGGCTCCCAGGCAATGTGACCCACCCCTGCCTGCTCCCCAGCCTATCAGGCATTGGGTTATATTGTGTTGTAATCACTGTTTGAGTGTTGTCCCCCACTCTGAACTATGTATGTCTTGAAGGCAGGAACTCGTACAACTCACTACTCAGCTGCAGCACAAAGCTCAGTGTGAGGTCTCTACTTCTTGGCGCTCAGGGCAACCCATTCCAGATGTGTAAACTCTCCCTCACCTATACCCTACCCCCGGGGGACTGGTTCTCCCCCAAGAATGGACCTGCCTCTGCCTCAGTACCCACAAGGTGAAGGACAGAAGGGCACGCTCCCGGCCCACCTCCGGGTCTGCATGTGGCTTGGCAACGTGGACGACAGCAAAGATCTTAAGCTGCTCCACCATGGCAATGTGGTCGTGTACGCAGAGACGGTGAGTGCAGGCCAACTGTCAGGCGTGGAGCGGGGCACACAGGGATGTGGTGCAGGAGGCAGAAGCAGGTAGGACAGGTCTAGCAGGGGACAGAGAATGGCCTCACAGGAGGATGTTTAATGGGAGGAGGGAAGTTCAAGCTGCAATAGCCTAGCACTGAAAATAAAAAGAAATGTTAATGACCAAACCTCAGAATTGCAAAACAGGGTATGACAGAGCAACTTCAGAGGCTACCAGCTGCCGGTCCCTTGTTAACAAGCCATAGGCTTGTGGGTGGCACAGTGGCCTCCTCCTGGGCCTAGTCACTTTCTCCCCATGGAGGTTCATGGGGATAATTCTCCCAGTTCCTGGAGGGTGAGCAAGGTTCTCACTCCCAGGGTGGTCTGCCAGTTACTAATATGGCAATCTGGGATCCCTGTAGACCCCAGCTGGGTCCTTCAGGCCAATCTGGTGGCCCTAGGGATAGGGAAACCCAGGAACAGTCCCTGTCCTCCCAGAGGAGCAAGAAAGGAGGCACCCACCCACAGAACCGTAAATCCAGGAGCCTGTGAGCAACCAGAATCTGTTCCAGAAACAGAGAGAGAGGAGAGCCATGGGAGGACATGGCTCAGAGGAAGGATCTGACACTTGAGAGGAAATAAGTTTTGAGTTTCACCCTTTTCAATTGACTGATTTGAAAGATGTTTTTACAGTTTTTAAGTTACATGTTGTGGATGGATATATCATGTTTAACCAGCCCCCTGTGTAGAGCTTGGAGGCAGAAGAGGAGTGGGATTTAGGATTAGGTGCAGGGAGCAGGGACTGTGTGCCTCACCAGAGGAATCCCTCACAGGGGATTGCAGAAGGAAAGACCTAGAGACAGCAAAGGTGGAGCCCAAGGTCCAGAAGGGCTGGGTTTCCCTGGGTCTGCAGTGAGGAAGGTGTTGGGCCAGTCACAATGCAAATATCAGAGTTTAACATTGGCTTCCACCACACTCTGCCCCTTGTTAGCTGAACAACTCAGAGCAGAGTTGAACTCTATAAGCCTCAGCCTCCTTGCTTGTGAAATGGGGATGTAAGGACTAAAGGAGATAGTATAGAGCTTGATCAATGGAGCCTGCCTGCACTGACTCACAATAGCCCTTGTCATTGTTGTTGTTATGTGCTGTCAAGTCAGACTCGACTCATAGCGACCTCTCCTTGGGTTTCCGAGGCAGTATCACTACGGAAGTAGATTGGCCCATCTTCCTTCTGAGGAGTGGCTGGTGGGTTTGAACCGCCAGCCTTCTGGTTAGCAGTCAAGTGCCTTAGGCACTATGCTACCAGAGCTCCCACAATAGCCCCTAGCTCTGGTTTTAAAAAGGATTTTGTGGCAACACTTCACCTCAGGGGGAAGTGCTATGACTGATAAGCCATGTCTATGGGGCACCAGAGAGTACAGAGATAGCATAGGGGATGCATACCAGTCTGCTTCAGTGGCACTTCGTTCCTCGCCTCTAACAGACAACAAAAGCCTCTGGCCCAAGGGCAGGGATCATGGGATCCCTTCTTGCCTGCCTACCACATTGCTAGGTAGTACCTGCACTCCAGTGGGGGCCCAGGGCAGTATGATATCCTGCTGTGTGCTAGAGGCAGACAGGCACTGAGGAGCTTCTGTTCTCCAGTATGAAAACCAGGCTAAGTACAAAGACCAATGGGGGCAGCAGGGGCTGCACCGCTGCCCCAACTTCTCAGACGTCATAGGACACACAGCCCTCCCCAAAGAAGATTTCAAGGAGCCCCCTGGATGGCACTGGCAGGGGAAGTGGATGGTGGAGCCTCAGAGGAGGTAAGGCTGGGGATGCAGGTCCCTGAGCCTCTATCCCTCTGGGCTTACCCTACTTGAGTTGACTCTTCTTTTCACCTGAGAGGGCTGGACAGCAGAAGACCTTCCCACAGCCTAGTCCTAGTGGGCTGGGGTGCACCAGACACAGGGCCCTGCCCACCAGACTTGCCCAGAGTGGGTAGGGAGTGCATGGCCAGCAGAGGAGGACTAAAGGGGCCTGGAAGTTCAGGGATAGGTCCTGGGAACCTGGGATCTCCTCTTCCTAGACTTCTCCTGGACATAGACATCAACAAGAGCCAGGTGCTGGAGGAGGTGTACGAGAACCAGAAGCGTGACGTCACAGGGGCCTGGGTGCCTGCAGACATCCCAAACACAGACGTGGTGAGCAGGGGCCCCAGCCACCTTGTGGGATGTGTGTGGGGCAAGCAATGTCACAAGGTAGGGAGCCTTGGAAGCTGGGGTATATGGGTGGAAAGAGCACTAGACTAGGAATTATGATCTGAGCCCTGCTTCTTACACATGTGTGGGATCCTAGATCTTCAGCTCTCATGCCCCCTCCCAGGCACTGATGGGGGTTATATCCCAAGATGACGTATCAGTGATACCTCTAATAAAACTGCAAGAAACAACAAAAAGAGGCAGTATTTCTTTCTCAGACCTCTTTCAGAGATGCTACTTACCCTGATGGAAAGAATCTCAGTCTGGGGCTAGTCTAACCCAGCACTGTCCATTAGAACTTTCTGTAGTAACGGAAATGTTCTATATCTGCATTCTCCACATGTGGCTGCTGAGCCCCTGAAGTGTAGCTACTGAGACTGAGCAATGAAAGTTTTCATTTTGTTTGATTTTAATAAGAGGTCCCTCGATGGTGCAAACAGTTTGCTCAACCAAAAGTCTGGCAGTCCGAATCCACCCAGCAGAGATGCAGAAGTTAGATTATAGTCATTGAAAACTATGGAGCACAGTTCTTCTCTGTATTATGTGGGGTTGCCATGAGTCAGGCAACTCACTGGCAACCAGTTTGGGGATTTTTGGAATTCTACTTAATTTAAATAGCCCCAGGTGGCTGGTGGCCCCAAATTGGGCACTGTAGTTCTAACCCAACTCTAACACATGCTTGCCACCAGTGGCTGGCGAGTTAATTCTCACTCATGGAGACCCTATGTGTGTCAGAAGAGAATTACGCTCTATAGAGTTTTCAATCGCTGATTTTTCGGAAGTTAATCATCAAGTCTTTCTTCTGAGGAGTGTTTTGGTGGACTTGAACCTCCAACTTTTTAGTTATCAGTCAAGCTGGAATTCAATCACACTATTTTATTTCCATAGTAATTGTTATGGTTATGTTCTACTTATGGTGTGGGATGCTAATTTTAAGGTGCTCTGGTGGCATAGTGCCTAAGGCATTTGACTGCTAACCAGGTTGGCGGTTCAAACCCACCCACCACTCCACAGAAGGAAGACTGGGCAATCTACTTCTGTAAAGATTTACTGCCTAGGAAACCCAAAGGGGGTCACTATGAGTCGGAATTGACTCCATGGCAGTGAGTTTGATTTTTTTTTTTTTTTTTGGATACTAATTTTTAGTGGCTTATATAAGGTTGCTTATAAAAATAAATATATATTTTTTATATAAATAAATTTATTTTAAAGTTTAATAAAAACAAGTAGCCAAATATGCTATCTGGTCCAGAGGGTGGAACCATATCTGTATGGAGGACACTGAGCTCACAGTACATGCAGAAAAACAGATTATGGAAAGAGTGAAGGTGGCATTGGGGTGTGAGGCCATGACAGGCCTTGCTCCACTTCATGATACCCATCAGCTTGCTCGCTTTCTTTCTCTCTCTATCTCTCTCTCTCCACAGGATGGAAACTCCACAGATGCCCGGGAGAATATGAAGTGTCCCCGAGGCTGGTACATTCAGAAGAATTGGACTGTGGAGCTGAACCACGCAGTGGACAATGAAGGTCAGTCCTGTAGTCATGGAATGATGGTGGGAGTGCCAAAAGCCTCTGCTGAGCTAGGGCTCAAAATCACTGCAGCACCCAAAGACCAGCTCTGGGCAGGCAGGGGTGTTTAATACATCTGATCAACTCAGAATAGCCAAGCTCTTAGGTCAGATGGGCCTGAATTCAGGGGGTCCTCAAACCTCCAGAGATAGTGTAGGTTGTAAATACCTGGCCCAGAGTAAAGCTTGGCAGACACCTGTGAATGTGAATCTGATCATTGAGCCTGAGTTCACCCAAGATAGCTCCAGGGAAGGTGCATTGGACTAGAAGTCTGCAGACCTGAGTTCAAGGTCCAAACTTTGTTTACTTGCTGTGTGTCCTTGTGTGGGTCACTGTACATCTCTGACTCTCACCTTCCTCATTTGTAAGATGGACAGTTGAGCCAGGGCCACCCAGATGTGATGAAATATGAGCACACATTTTCTTTCCACAAAACTGGCCTTTGGGCCAGAGAGATTGGAGGAAAATCGCTGCCCCTTTAGCCTGTCCTTCTAGGACCCATCTTGCTGCTCTTTCCAAGCCTCTCAGCCTGTGAGCACCTGGGGATCCAGGGTCATGATCCCGTCTCCCACAGGCTGGGAGTATGGAGTGGGGATCCCGCCTTCAGGCCTACCACAGGTCTGGAACTCTGTGGAGAAGACCTACTACTCAGTCAGGCGGCGGCGCTGGGTACGCATGCGGTATCGGAGCCCCCAGAAGCTGACCCATGAGCAGGAGACCCTCTCTTTCCTGCAGCTGGTAAGGAGGCTGCCTTGGCTGGGCCCTGGCCATGCGTGACCTGCACGCAGGCAGGATCTACTGTGGGCCATGGCAGGAAGCACACTCTGCTTTCTTCCTGTAGCACAGCCCTAGTGTGGCCAAGGAGGATGAGGGCTGGGAGTATGGTACCTTCGGCTCCAAGTTCCATCTGAACCCTCAACCCACCAGCCAGTTCCGCCGTCGCTGCTGGCATCGCAGGCTGGCCCCCAACAAGGACAAGGGCATCGCACCCATATTTCTCCTTGAGGGATCCCTGGTAAAGTCTCCTTGCAGCCCCACCTCCCAGAGCAAATCTGGCCTGGGTGTGGCAAAGATTCAGAGATGCCCCAGGTTGGGCATTGACCACTGTGGGGGTAGGAGAGGAGTGGACTTCAATTCCACATTCCCAGGCTTTGGTGGGTGGAGCTTGTGAGAGGAGGAATTTGATCTGGAACTGAGCAGGCCTGGGCTGGAGGAGACTAACAGGAGACCTTCCTAGGCACTGGGTATGGATCTGCCTCAGCAAGCTAAGGAAAAGGAGAAGGGAGAGGAGGACAGACTGTCTTTATGGGGAATGAGCAATATATTCTCCAATATCTGGAGACCTACCCCAGAGAATACTCGGCCACTCAACATGCCCTTCATCTATTTCATCTTCAACAGTGAGCACTTAATTGGGAGTCTATTTGAATGGCCCCAGAGGCCCAGTATCTGAAGGCAGGGAGTGTGGAGGGTCAGCATGGAGAAGTGAGAAGGTGGTCTTTGGGGATCCTGAGGCAGGTAATAGACACATGCCCCTCTCTTACCCAGAGCCCCACTACTACCAGCTCTTCTGCTACATCTACCAGGCCCGAAACCTGATGCCCAACCAGATCCAGACTTTCCAGAGTAGGTAGTAAGCACCTTTTTTCCCCTAACCCCCCAGGGCCCTGGCAATGTGATCACCCAACAGTATAAAGAATGTGGCAAGAAAGGGGAGACATAGGGGCAGTCCCCTCCAACAGCTCATGGCTCTGGATTGGGGAAAAGACACCAAAACAAACAATACAAGGTAGAGCTGCTCTTGAGGTGTGTCCCCAGTGCTATGGAATCAAGAAGGGGTAATTGAGGAGACTTCTCCCCATTGATGACCACTTAGCTAGGTCTTTTTTTTTTTTTAATTGTGATTTGGGTGAAGATTTACAGAGCAAATTCACTTTCCATACAGCAGTTCACATACACTTTGTCTCATGACATTGACCACAATTTACCACAATACAACAGCTCCCCTCCCACTTCCTCCCCATAGTTACCTCTTCCCTGTGTCCACCCTCCATGCACTCCTGACCCCGAGCTGTCTCCCTGTGCATAAGCAGCCCTTCTTTCTCCCATGATTGTTCTCTCCAAGGAGTGTATCTACCTCAGGTAAATGTTCAACTCATATGCCTGTCTTTTGTTTGGCTGGAAGCCACAAGTGTGAGTTCAATTCCAGACCTGAAGGGCATCTAGGGGTCATAGTCTCAGTGGTTCCACCAGGCTCTGTCAGACCAGCAAACCTGGTCTCCCCCCCCCTTTTTTTTTCCTCCAAATGATTTTGAGTTTTGTTCCACATTGTTCTCCTTCTCTATCCAGGATCTCCTATATAGATCCCCCTATGAGTAGATGACATTGGTAGCCGGGCACCATCTAGTTCTTCTGGTCTCATAGTTGTATAGGCTGATGATCGCATGCTGTACCAGTCAACTTAGCTAGGTCTTGAAGAGGAAGTAGAGTTCATACTAAGTTGAAGGAAACAACAGACAGAAACAAAATCTGAGACTTGAAGGCAAGAAACAGGATGACATGTTTGGCGAACCATGTGTCAATGTGGTTGGACCAGAAGATGAGGGGGAGGGGAGGAGATATGTCAATTTCAGGCCCTGTGAGGGAGGAGCCTGTACTGTTTCCCATGAAGAAAACCCATCGAAGTTTTTAGGAGGTGAATCACATACTCCCATCCACTCCTGTTAGTGGCATTGTTTATAAGGAGCCAGGGAGATGGATGGGGAGTTCTGGTAGCATAGTGCCTAAGGCATTAGACTGCTAACCAGAAGGCTGGCAGTTCAAACCCACCAGCCACTCCTTGGAAGAAAGGCTAGGCAATCTACTTTGGTAGACATACCACCTTGGAAACCCAAGGAGGGGTCGCTGTTAACTTGAAATCGACTTGACAGCCGTGAGTTTGGTTTTTTGGTTTAGGGAAATAGATGAGGTTCTAGACTAGGGCAATGGGTAGTAAGACCCTAAGGATGCCTGCTGGGAGCTGTGTCCACTGGGTATCACCACCCATATCAAGAGGGCCACGTAATGTTCCCTGATGCCAAGGCCACTGGTTGATGCTGTGAAAGGGGAGAGTTCTGGTCCTGGAACCCCTTCAGAGGTCCTCCAGGCCTCAAACATGGTAGGCGTGAAATATATGTGGATGGAACCAAGTGATCCCTTGGCCTATAGTTATACACCCAACTGCTCTGCTACTTACACAGAAGTGGGTCTCTGGGCAGCTGGCAGTGGCTGCCAGACCTAGGCTTCCTTGGGAGGAAAGCATCACTTGACAGCTTCCTTCTCAAAGACACAACCTTCCTTCTCTCTCCTTTCTGCTCTCCAGGGCCTTTCATTAGAGCAGTCTTCTTGAACCATAGCCAGTGCACCCAGACCCTGAGTAGCTCTGCAGCCCCGACATGGGCCCAGACACTGGTCTTCCTGCACCTCCTTCTCTATGAGAACCCTCAGGACACCAAAGAGACCCCACCGCTTGTGGTGCTTGAACTGTGGCAGCAGGACTCCCAGGTACTGCAGGTTGGGCTGGGGGAAAAAGACCTACCTCACAGAGTTGCTAAGGAATTTTTCCTTTAGAGGAAAATATACGAAAATCCAATGGTCCCTAATGAGTGGCAAGCACCATGTAAACATGAACATTGGTGTTATCCTATCACTGTCAGAATTCAGGAGAGGAGCCAGAACTCTGCCAGCTGGGCCTTCTTGTCTTGCAAACACTTCCACTTCCTTTCAGGGCAAAGAGAGCTTGTGGGGACGAAGCATGTGGTCCCCAGTTGTCTGGCTGGATCCCCAAGACCGGACCCTGCCCCCCATGAGGTGGCACCCCCTTGTAAAAGGGATGGGGGAGGAAGAGGGTGAGATACTGGCATCTTGTGAGCTGATCCTCAAGACCCAGGTACTGGGAGAGAGGGTCTAGTTAGGACATGTATTACCCAAGGTCCCCTCCCAACCTACCTTAGTAGCTGCAAGTTTTCAAACCTGTTTTTCCTCCACCCCATCCCCCCAACAAAGCCTGAGACACAGGAACCAGAACATTGGGCTTGGTGACATTGGCCTTCTCAAGCTCCCCACAGCTCCCCTACCAGCTTCTACCCATGGGGTTCTGGGGCCTCCTCAGTTAAACCCTCCTAGGGATCTGCTTGAGTTGAGGTGAGGGCAGAAGGACCTGCCCAAACGGGCCTCATACTCTCTGCTCTCCCACCTTATCCCTCAAGAGTGTCAGAGAGAAGAAGCCACCGATCTTAAGTGTTCCCTGGAAGGATAAGATCTACCTGCTTCCCAAGGACATCCAGCCTACACTAAAGAAGATGGCTATTGAGGTGAAGATGGTGTGGGGCAGAAAAAGAAGCATGGAGTGGGGAGGATGGGCAGGGTGTAAGCATCACACAGAGCAGACTGGAGCACCATGGAGTTCTCTCTGCTGACCTGCCTTGGCCTCCTGACCCAAAGGTTGGACCTCAAGAAGATATTATCTGGGGGATGGAGGGAAACAGGAGAGAAATGAAGAACAAAGGCTCTGATATATTTTAAATTATTTTAATGCAAATCTCTGCTATGGATAGTGTACAAAAGCTTTAGCATCCATCATAGCACTTGATCTTCACATTAACCTCTGTACAGTAGGGACTACCTTTTCAAAGAAGGAAAGAGACTGAGAGAGATAATATATTCCATGCACAGTGGCATAGGGACTAAGTGGCAGAGCTACAATTTGGGCCCAGCTCTGCCTAGCTCCAAATGCCTGGATTTTTCTCATTGGTCTTTTGAGAGTAGCATGGAGGTCACCATTGTACCTGTGTGCCCTGCCACAGACTTGGCAAAGAGCAAAGGATGGCTAGGTCCTCCCCAAAGATAAGGCAACCTGGCTGGTTCATGCTCTGGGCCCCCAAGGAGGCCCTATGAATAAGGGTGTGTACATTTCCTGGGATGCTCAGTGTCTGTTAGTTGTGAATGAGAACACAGGATGCTGGATCACTGAATGGACACAGAGTTCTATAGGACACAAGCCAGCAATGAACTAAATGCCATGACACCCCTGGGAAGTCCCCTCCCTGCTTCTGTGGCCCTTAGAGGCAGTCAGTTTTGGGAAACTACCTCCTAAGGACTGATTAGAGGATAGACAAGGCAGTCTATAAGTAAGAGGTGTCGGCAGTTAGTAGAGGATATAGTCACAGTGACCAGAGGACATCTCCCTCCTAGAGAATGGAAGACAGCACTCAGGCTTTGAAGATGAACACTGGCCCCTCACAGGCAGAGTCTTCAGACTTACATTTCTCTGCTCAGCCTCATTCTCCAGCTCTGCATGCTCTCTGATGCACCATGATTCTCAGGGTGGCCCCTTCTCTTTGGCCAAGACTCCATTAGAGGCACTGCCTACCCCTTGCTCTGCCTCCCTCCTCTGTTCTGGCAGGTCCTAGTCTGGGGTCTTCGGAACATGAAGAATGTGTGCTCCCCCTATCTCCTGGTGGAATGCGGGGAACAGTCCCTGAGGACAGAACCCATCAAGGACTTCCAGACCAACCCCAACTTCCCCCAGTCTGCCCTCTTCTTCACATTGGTAAGACGTCCTTGGGCAAGGGCTGGGGCAGTCCTCATCTCTAGGGAGGACTCACACTCCCCACCTCTCCTTGGGGATACAGTTTATGCCTACAGAGGAGGCCTACTCACTGCCCCTCATGGTGAAGGTAGTGGATACCCGGGACTTCGGCCAGCAGACCATGGTGGGTCAGGCCAACATCGACTTCCTACAGCCCTATTTCTGTGATCCCTGGGCTGACAACTACGTACCCCCAAGGCTTCCAAGTACGGTCTTTTCTCCTTGCCCTTCCACAGGCCTCACCTCCAGTCCCCCATTGAGAGTGGGGTCAGGCCCTGGCTCCCCCTGGGTTGGTGTCCCTCCACCCCACCTTTCTCCCCTCTCCTGAGATTCATGATTACACTTCCTCCAAACAGCGCTGTCCATGAAGAAGCACCAGGAGGTGAGTTAAGAGTTTGAGTTAACACCTTCTCTGGCACCATTTACAGGAAACATCCCTTGTCAATTAAACAGAGTTCTGGTATCTGTGCCCCAGCTCACTAAAACTCTAAAGCAGTGGTTCCAACTCTAACTATACATTAGAATTACTTGGGAGCTTTAACAAATCTGGATGCTCGGATCACCATCCAACCAATTACATCAGACCCAGACAAGAGCATTTGTGATTCCAATGTGCTTTCAAGATTCGAAACTACTGCTCTAGAACAGTACTTGCCAATTGTTATTCATGGAATTATGTGGGCACCTTGTTAAAAAGCAGATTCTGAGTCAACAGGTTCTAGGTGGGGCTTGAGGGCCTGCATTTCTGAGCCACTTCCAGAGTTCAGTCTGTGCCTGCAGTAATGAGGACTGAGAACTATGACTACCCTCTTTTTCACTACCCAACCTCATGTCTCAAGGTCTCTGAATTAACAGGCCAGAGAGCCTATGTGAATGGCAAGGAGTAAGGGAAGCAAGCTCTGGCCCCAACCCCCATCTCTCCTTAGAAATCAGAGATGGTGAGTGAACTATGAGCTGCCTGACCTCATCTGGTTCCTTCTCTCTCCCATTTTTCAGCTCTTAAGTTACCTCTACGAAAAGTTATGGCTCAAGTACAACAAAACTGAGGTGGGAAACAGCCCCAGACAGCTCAGAGGGTGGGATGTGGGTGTGGGGTGTGGGGTATGGGGTAGGAGGGCAGAAAGACCCCGGCAGAGGAAGGCTGCTGTGCCTCTCTCTCCCTTCTTTTATCAAGGGCCAAAGCTAAAATTACCCTTTTCCTTGACAGGATGAATATGAGCATGAAGTGGATTGGTGGAGCAAGCTGTCCTGGGCCACAGGAGATGCTCAGAAATCTTTGAAGTACAAGGACAAAGACTACCATACCCTAAAGGTTTGGAGGCCTCCAGGGAGGAGAGGGAGCTGAAAGGTGGAAAAAAATCTAATACTGAGAAAGGCCAGCAGACCTGGCCTTGATTCCTCTGGGAATCATCAAGTAGGGGCATTTCCTCATTTTCTCCATAAGACTCCAGGAGTCATCTCCACCAGCCACACCCTTGCAATAACCAAGGCTGCCCTTCTGAAGCACACAGTGCCAACTCTGGGGCCACTGATAGAGCAGATGCATGGGAACAAGACCAGGAGCTGCTGGCCCCTCAGTCCTCTGATCTTGGCAATGGTCTCCCTCTGGTCAAGCTAAGGCCTGATCCTCCCAATAGCCTGGGTTGCAAACACCCTCCTACAGGTGTATGACTGTGAGCTGGAGGCAGTGCCAGACTTCAAAGGTCTGCAGGACTTCTGCCAGACTTTCAAACTCTACAAGGAGCAGCCTGTGCTGGACAGCCCTGTGGTGGGAGAGTTCAAGGTATGTGTCTACCCCAACTTAGCTGTTCTTATCTCCTTATGTCCCTCTTATCCCCAGAAGACCCTAATGAAAGTATAGGTCCTATCATGATCATTGTGAGGATGGGCAAGGAGGACTTAAAAAACAGCTCTCAGGGTAGGGAAGCAGAGATTTGACCGTATAAAACCAAAACTGGCTCCTGTCTGGCTTTGGAGCTCGTTGCCCTTTATTAAGGGCAATAACATTTGCACCCTCAGCTCTGACCTATGCGTCTCTCAAGGCCCCAGAGCCTTGGAAAACAAGTTCAAACCTGAAGGGACAGATGGGTGAAATGAGAGTTCACAATCAGCAGTAACTGGGAACTCATCTATTGATTGCAATTCTTTTGCCCAACAACCCCATCCCCACCCCCTAAAAAAAAACATGTGGGCCCTGCAGAAGACCTCTGCTGCATCTGCCACTACCCTCCTTGCAGCCTTTTGTTCTTGCCACCCTAACATAACCCACTCTCCTCAGCCTGGACCGGGGACACCACTTGGTGGGTTCTACAAGCCTGGCCTGCTCTGGTAGCCAGCACTGCCAGGATGGGCTTCCAACACCTTCCCCCACCACACACACACACAGGGCCTTTTCCGCATCTACCCATTTCCCGAGGATCCTAAGGCCACCAAGCCCCCCCGCCAGTTCTTGGCTTGGCCTGAGAAAGAAGGCTTCCCTCAGGAGTGCTTGGTGCGGGTGTACGTGGTACGAGCATTCAGCCTACAGCCCCAGGACTACAATGGTCTGGTAAGGGAGCAGCCCAACCCCACAGTTGTCATCTTTCTGCAGCCCCACCCAGCCTCCCACATCTTGCTCCAAACTCCAATCTGGAGCTCCTTCAGGTTTCTGACACTCAGAGTGCCAAGTAGCAGATTTGTGCCCCACACCCATCCTCTCAGATCCAATCCATTTCCTATTCTTCTCACACCTTTGTCTGTGATCCCCAGTGCGACCCTTATGTGATCCTGAAACTGGGGCAGAAACAGGTTGGCAACCGAGACACGTATCAGCCAAACACTCTGGATCCCATCTTTGGCACGTGAGCTTCCCCCAACTCACCCAACCCCACTTCTCTGCTCCTATTCATGTGATGCCAAGAGTAAGCACTATAAGGCAAAGAACACTTGCATTCTTCTCTAGTCTCCAGTTCCCAGCATATTGTTTTACACGCTCTAGGGGCTCCATAGATGGAAGATAAATGGATGGATGGTCCAGGTGTACTCTGTCAAATTCTTTGTCTGGGAAGAGAACTCAGAGTTCCATAGCCCATGTCTATCAAAATTTATTTTCAGCCATAACCAAAGGATGGTTATTGGTGGGCAACAGCCTACCTCATGCCCCTGATCTACATATTCACCATAACTGAACCAGTGGGTGGAACATGGGTCCATGGGATTGAGATGGTAGAGGGAGGCAGGTAAATAACATGGGGGAGCCTAGAGCTCTAAGTCCCCCTCCAGCCACAGGCTCTGCAGTCTCCAATTCCCTCACCCCTAGGATGTTTGAATTGAGCTGCAACATCCCTCTGGAGAAGGACCTAGAGATCCAGCTGTATGACTTTGATCTGTTTTCACCTGATGATAAGATTGGAACTACAGTCATTGACCTCGAAAACCGACTCCTCTCTGGCTTTGGAGCTCGTTGCGGGCTCTCCAAATCCTACTGCCAGTGAGAGTGGGCCTGAGCCAGAGCAATGGAATGGGGGAGGGGGGGAGGGGGGAACCCATAGCTCTTTCAGAGGCCTGCATCCTGGGTTGGGCAACCAGGGCCTGGATCTGCTCTACAACCACCCCTGCTTCCACCTCTAGTCATCCTGTAGCTCAAGCTCTCCAGGACTCAAACCACCCTCTCCTCTTCTCACACATCCCCATAGGTCAGGGCCCTTTAGGTGGCGGGATCAGGTGCCCCCAAGCTACCTCCTGGAACGCCTTGCCAAGCTGAAAGGGGTATCTCCACCTCTGTTCAATACTGAAGATGACACTGTTTTTTACAATGGGAAAAAATTCAAGCTGCAAAGCTTTGGTGAGATGCCCAGCACACTCCCAAAAAGCACAAGACACAGACCTCTGAAACCAGTGAGGTCTCTAAAACAGAAGAGCTGGGGGTTGGGGGTTGCAAAGAAAGATTCCTTCTGAGCCAGAGAGTACCACTCTCCTTTTCTCCTTTACTCATCCAAAGGGCAACCATGTCCATGGTTCTACCAAGGGTAGAAAGGGTGGAGGCCTACCCGAGAGAAGGGAAGGCTAGCCACTTTGTGATCCCCTCCTTCCACCCACCCCTCCAATCCAGAGCCCAAGCCTCCTACTGCTCAGGACTTGGGATCCAAGAAGGAACGCCTTGCACTCCATCTCCTGCACACCCAAGGGTTGGTGCCCGAGCACCTGGAGACCCGCACACTGTACAGTGACAGCCAGCCAGGCATCGACCAGGTGCGAGACTGGAGGAGACACTCCTGTTTTCATCCCTATCTTCTGTCTTAAACTTCTACACTTTGTGGATATCTTAATATCCTTAAGTAGAGTTTACACAACATAAAATGACTTGGGAATCTGGATGGATCTAGTTAGCTTACTCTTATTAAGATAGATTCCCATCCATCCAGGACATATAGTCCCCAATGTGAGGGGAAGAAGAGGCCAAGCACCCATGTATGCACATGCACATGAATAAGACAAGTATATCTTGTGTATGCTAATTAGCAAGAAGCTCCAGTGATGTCACTCACAGAATAAAGAACTTTAGAGCTGGAAAAGTCATCCACAAGAAACCAGAGACCTTCAGCTGTGGAAAGCTCTAAGGAATCCTATCAGCTAATGTGTCATTTCCTTTAGTTTCTCCTGAGGGGCAGGCAGGGTGATAGCTCTCAGGTCAGGTTCTGTTTGATTATTGTAGGCTGTGTTGTCTCCATTGCAGGGAATCCCAAACACAAGAAAAAAATTTTCTATAGACACCCTAGTTACCCCTCCTGCAGCCACCATAATGGCCCATCTCATTCTCCAAATTTCTCAAACTAACACTGCCATTTTAGATACAAAGTTCTTGGGTTTATTTATTTATTTATTTAAATTATTTTTTAATTAAAAAAAAATCATTCTTGTTAAACCTCTTATCTCAAACAGGGTCATGTTCAAAAGAATAAAATTAGGTCAGCTAGTTTGAAAGAAAGAATATATTTATCTTTTCACTAACACTGGTAGTTCTGTGCTTTCCCCTTTTTCATCCTCTCTTCTTTCTTAAACCTCTGTACTTTGTGGATATCTTATTATCCTTGGCTGGTGGTTATACAACATACAAGGACCTGGGAATATGGACTGATTAGCTGACTCTTACTCAGAACCACCAAGCTGGTTCATAAAGGAAGCCCAACCCCAGTCTGGAACCCTCTATGAACAGGCTGTCTAGCATGAGCTGACATGGCATTAACCCTCTAGATAGACTCTAGTCATAAGTGAACTCTTAGCATCATAACCATCAGCCTCAAAGCCATGATACCCTACCCCAATCCCTGCACTATCCCTTCAATCAAAACAAGAAAAAAGGGGAAGCTGGTGAGCAGTTACCTGACTTGTCTGGAGCCTATTTTACCTCACAGATACCTCTCTGCCCCGCTCCTCAGTGTTGGGAACACAGGCCAGGGCTCCCCGGGGACAGCATGCTGAGAACAGAGGATAGCAAACCCAACCAGTTCATCCATCCTGGCTCTAGGGAAAGGTGCAAATGTGGGTGGATATCTTCCCCAAGAAGCTTGGCCCTCCTGGCCCCCGAGTCAACATCAGCCCCCGAAAGCCAAAAAGGTGAGTGACAGTCCACTTCCCAATCACTAAGTTTCACAATCCAACCTCCCCAGGATGCCAAACACTAGTATTCCCAAACACTGAGTAGTAGTAACTCTTTTCCTCCATTGGGAATCCTGGGAGCTTTCTTCCTTGAATTCCCCCAATTCAGTAAGACTTGTGAGCACGGAAAAGCCTTGCAGGCCTCTCTTCCCTCACCAATGCTATGGCTGGGGAGCTATTCTTTAGCAAAGCCTCAGAACACAGTGGCTGCAGGTATGAGCTGCGCTGCATTATCTGGCAAGTTTCCAACGTGGACCTGAAGGACAGTTTTTTCGGTGAAAAGACCAGTGATATCTACATCAAAGGGTAAGGAGAGGATAAGGGCTCCAGTAGAGGCCCCTCAGGTCTCCAGTTCTGTCACTCCTGTTGGGTCCTCCTAATCCTGGGGATGACGACCTTCCACTTTCACCAATACCTGGAGTCTACTGGACAGTCCCTCCTACAGGGATCCAGCTTGGGGATTGGGGCTAGACACACCAACCCCAGGTGACAGGTCTTTGGTCCCAGGTGGTTATTCGGGCTAGAAAAAGACATGCAGAAGACAGATATCCACTACCATTCCACAACTGGGAGAGGTTACTTCAACTGGCGGTTCATCTTCACCATGGACTATCTGGCAACTGAGCAAATGTGCGTCCAGAGCCAGAAGGTAACAGGCCCAAAAGGAGGGAGGGTAACGGCTTCCAGCTCCAGGAGCTCCTCCTCCCCCACCCTTCAGAGGTTTGCAAGATGTACCAGAACATGTGAAATGTGTCCTCAGACTGAAACCCTATGCCTTGATAGTCCATCACTGCCAGGTAGTGAGCTATTAAGGTATCCAACAAAAATGCCAAAGAAGAGATGCCTGTAACCTAGTTACCCTTCAGGTCTGGAACTGAACTCACTCCAGTGGCTTCCAGGCAAACAACAGACAGGCATATAAGGTGAACATTTGCATCAGGTAGACACACTCCTTAGAGTGATCAATCGTGGGAGAACAGAAAGGTAGTGTTTGCACAGGGAGATAGCTCAGAGGGCAGGAATGCATGAGAAAGGACACAGAGGTAACTACAGGGAGGAAGTGGGAAGAAAGCTGTTACACTGTGGGGACTGCAGTCAATGTCATGAAAAAAATGTGCATGAACTGCTGTATGGAAAATGAATTTGGTCTGTCAACTTTTACCCAAATCACATTAAAAAAAAAAAAAGATGTCAGCAAAATGCTCTGTCATCCTCTAGGACTACATATGGAGTTTGGATCCCACATCAATGAAGTTCCCACCCCAGCTCATCATCCAAGTCTGGGACAATGACACGTTATACAATGATGACTTTCTAGGTGAGATTCTGGCATAGAGCCTGTGGCCACAGGCCAGAGAGCACCTTTTGCTGACAGCCTTTCTCTGGGTCCAGGGGTCCTAGAGCTGGATTTGTCTGACATGCCCTGGCCTGCCCGGAATGCCAAAGCCTGCTCCCTCAAGATGATGGACACAGAGCCCAAGTGGCCCCATTTCCACCAACACAAGCACATCTCCCTCTTTAAGAAGAAGATTTTAACTGGCTGGTGGCCTTGCCAGGTCCTCGATAATGGAAAATGGCGCTTGTCGGTAGGAATTGGGGAAGGCGTTTATTGACTATACCAAGTAACCTGGCTCCAACAGACTTTCAGGGACGTTACCTAAAATCCCATCTCCTTCCTGGATCCTGGGAAGAGGCCCTAAAACTATTCTAGCTCCTGGTATCTGCACTTAGCCTCCCACCACTATTGTATTTGTAGGGTAAAGTGAACATGACTCTGGAGATGCTGACAGAGGATGAGGCCTTACTCAAGCCAGCTGGACGAGGACAGTCAGAACCCAACCAATACCCTACACTTCAACCCCCCATGTAAGATTTGGGCAACAGCACCAAGTCTTTCTTCCTTCTTGACAAAGCTGAGCTGCTAGGCTCAGCATTTACATGGTCTGAGGACCTGGTGAGCCTTCAAGTAGAGAGGAATAACTGTTTCTTACCACCTCATCTTAATGCTAAGTTACAGTCAGAAGAGAACGGACTTGGGAGGTGGGGAGACTAGCAAAGGGAAGGTGAAAAAAGAAAGCTCTTGGCTCTGGATCACTTTATATAAACTTGGTCTCTTCTCTCCATTCTCTGACATCTCTCCTGCTCATGAACAGACGCCTCCACAATGTCTTCAGATGGCTGCAATTACCTCTGCAAAACATGTGTTTTTTTATCTGGAAACACAACCGCTCCAAAATCCTAGCCATCTTTGTTATATTGTTTATACTATCACTGCTGTTCAACTTTATCTATTCAACTCCGGTGAGTGACAACCACAGGGACAAACACAAAGGATCTGGGGCTCTTGGGATGACTCTGGGGAAAGAGCCTTCAGACTACTCATCAGTCTAATTCTGTCACTTGTTCTCTCTAGAACTATTTGGCCATGAGCTTGGTTAAACCTGGAGTTCGAGTAGCTGATCAGCATTAAATATCCACCAATGACATCACTTCACTACCTACCAGCAACAACTCTCCTAACCTTACCACCCAGGATCTGAAGCTACAGCTTATTATTACAATAGACCATGAGTTAAAACTAGGGACTCATGAATCTCTTGAGAGATCTTTTTCTAGATTTTCCATTCCCAAGACTAAATCACCCATGTTTGCCTAATTTTTCTTCTGCCTACCACCAGCCTTCCCCTTGAGCTTCCTACCAGTTCCTTGTTTCTGTCTTCTAGGACACATGCAAGGGGCTGAAGATACTCTTGCTATTTGGTTCAGAAAGCACTTCTAACAAGAAAGGCAGAGTTGTAATTTTCTACTGAAATAAACAAGTTTCATAACAGAGAGCCACCTTGTAATTTGGGGATTTGAAGACAATATAAAAGGCTGAAAACACCAGCCTTTCAGACAAGACTCACAAAGACAGGCAGCAATGTCATCTCTATGCACCATCTCTAATCTTCAGGGTCTCCTCCACACCAAAAGGCTCTGAAGTCAGAGGAAAACAGATATAGGTTGACAGAGGAGGGAAATGGCTCAAGTGTGGTAAAACATCATGGCCAAGGCCACTGCTCTCGCTTACAGTGTCCAAACATAAAACCACCACATGATGGACCAGGCATCTCCCTCCTTTCATACAAATCTGGGATTATGGTGCCTAAAACAATATTCAACTGTATTGATAAAGGGAGGCATTGTTTGTTTCTGGAATAAAAAGGAAAAGCTGGGGCAGGATATACAATGCTAGACTGAGTCATCTACAAAACAAAATGTGTCTGCCACACATTTTGAGGACATCCTCAAAGTGGAGACTGCATTTCATGTGTTCCCTCCCCTTTTTAAAAAATGTCTAAGAGATGATAAGCTGAAATCACACAAAACCCACAGACTTGATCTCTTTCTCAAAACACAGTCTGATAAGAACTCCTCCTCTTTTATCACTGTCTTGGCCATCTCAAGCACTCACCTAGGTCCTCCCACCACACAGGTCCATACAATCTTCTTTTGAACTCAAAAACAGATAAACAGCCATTTGATTTTTCAGTTACATCTTGTCTATCACCAAGCTATAGGTCATGGTTTATCATCGGACATCTCTGAGCTTCTCTGCTGTTGTGGAGAAGGTGGAAGGAAATTGACATCAGTCTTGGCCCCACTTTAATCCCACATGCAGGAGAGTACTACAGCCCATGATGCTTAATTCAACACATGGGGAAGGATATAAGAAGGCTCTAAAATCCAGAAACCTATACCCAACCAAGGTGGCCCTTCCTTTTCTTCTGGGATGGGCCGAAGGCTTTCCCAACCCAGAAAAATACAAAACAAAGGTTGACGGGATTGCAATTTAGAAAAAAGTTCTGGGCTTTTCCCAAAACCCACCTCTAAAAGGAAGGACAATGAGTCAGAAGCTCATGTTTGCTCCCATCAGCCATTTTAAGAATTCCCCTTAGTGTACAGAAATATGAAGGAGCCCTGATGGTGCGCTGGTTAAGCACTGGGCTTTTAAGCAGTAGGTTGGTAGTTCAAAACCACCAGCTGCTCTGTGTGAGAAAGATGAGGCAGTCTGCTTCCATAAAGATTTACAGCCTTGCATATGGGGTAAATATTTACATCAAGTAGATACGCTCCTTGGAGTGATCAATCGTGAGAGAACAGGACAGTGCACAGGGAGAAGGGCGGCAGTGCATGGGAGGGAAAGACACAGGGAAGAGGTAACTATGGGGAGGAAGTGGGAAGAGAGCTGTTAGACCGTGGGGAACTACAGTCAGTGTCATGAAACAAAATGCATATGAACTGCTGTATGGAAAATGAATTTTCTCTATAAACTTTCACCCAAATCACAATAAGAGTTAACAAATAAATACATATATATATTAAAAAAAAAAAAGATTTACAGCCTTGGAAACCCTATGGGACAGTTCTACTCTGTCCTACTGGGTGGGTCACTAGGGTTGGAATCAACAGCTACAGGTTTATAGAAGTACATGACTAGGAGTACCTCAGAGTTCCACATCCTCCAGGGAGATGCTACCCTTTAAGTCAACTTAATCATGGGGCAGACAGGTAAGCAGCATGTGACCCCTTGTCAGATAAGGCAGCAGAAAAAGAACTGACACACAGAGTTTGACACTCAGGCTCTGTTGCTCAGTAACAACACACTCTTTCAGGCACAGATGATGAGGATCTACAGCTTCCCAGACTTGCAACATGATACCAGCAACTTTTCCTTATCCAGTAAGAAAAGAAGCCACATTTCTTCTCTGGGGAATATCCAAGCCCAGGCTGTAAGAAAAAAGCATCCTTATATTTGTAACACTTAAAGTGGGCTTCCAAAAATTGTGAGAAGCACAAAACATGCACCTAAGCAGGCTCCAGCAAGTCCAGAAACATCTTCATATGGTCAGACCACATGGCAAATGTTGCTTTCAGGGTCAAAACTTGGAGCTGGTCAGTTTCACAGTTAATCCCATGATAATCCATGAAGTTTTAGAAGCTTCACTTGCCTTGTGTACCAACTGTCAAACAAACTTGACTGAGGGCCTGTAGAGACCTGATTAGGAAGGTCATGGACATACTAACAGACCCAAGATTCACTAGAGAACAAAGGCTTAAGCAGTGAGCTAAAGCACAAACTTCTCTCCCTACACCCACCTAAGAAAATGAAGGTTAGCAAAACGTAAGTTGCCTCCATTGAGAGGCATCCAAATGTCTTTTCCAGCTCAGGTCATACTGAAAGAGGACAATGAATGGGAGGGAGGGAGGAAAATGAGGCAGGGAAGACATTTTCATCCATATTTCCAAGAAAAGCATCTCAGGTGGATAGAGGCTTGGACAAAAAAGTAAAAACCAATGAACTGATGGCTGGAAGGTATGAGAAATTATCAGTTTTCTAGTCTTTGAGGATTTAAAAACGAAGTACAAGGGTCCTCTTGAATTCAACAACAGGCAGCCTGGGCTATAAAATTCTTCTTGTGTGATTTAGGCATCACCACTGGAAGGACTGCAGGGAAAGGCACATCACAGCAGCATTGTCCTGGGGTGGGTGGGCTTTCTGAACCAGAGTTAGAGGGTCCCATGGATGACCATGGGAATGCAGTGTCCCTGCATTCAATGCTCCAGTGACACAACACAGTCCCTGACTGGCTGTTGGAGACTGAAGAAGACCCGCCAGGCTGCGTACCCAGGCCAGCATGCCTGCTCCTCGCACATCTCATAGGTGACAGTCTTAGAGAGGGTGCAGCAAGAGGACTCAGTAGAAGCGCTTTCGACTCTGTTCCTGCCATTTGTTGTAGAGTATGATACCGATGACAATGGCAAACACAGAAAATACCAGGGAGAAAAAGACAATGAGGAAGAGGGCCAAGCCACTCAGGGGCGGCAGTGGGGCTGTCACTGAGGAAGCAAGAGAGAAGCAAGTTAGAAACAGGGAAGCCACCCAGCAGGGATGTATGAACCAACAGACTATTAAGTCCCTAGTTTTTGGCTACTTTTTCTGGGGAGCCAGAGATTAGACTGACTTTTCCTTTCCAGCTGCTTCAATTTAAAACTGAGCAGCCCTAACTCCTGTTCATCTGTAACATGAAGGAAAGTGAAAAAGCAGGTGCAAACCCTCCATATTCTTCAAGGAGAAGACAGAAAGGAGATAGCCCTGCAAGCTATGGGCAAAGCCATCTCAGACCCCACACATCACTCCAACCTCCTCCTATACCATAGCACCATTTCCTAGGCTCCCCTGGGCTTACTCTCAGGCAGCTTCATATTGTCCACCGAGGGCAAGAACACATCTCGATGCAGCTTCTCCTCTTCTGGGGTTCTCTCCACTGTCAACTCAAATAACTTCAGGGAAATGACATCATGATTATCTAGAGAAAAAAAGATTACTCCAGCCACTTAAAAAGAGGTATCTTGGAGTCGGTATCTTAGGGTACGCTAACTAGCAGTGACCTTGAAAAAAATAACTGAAACTTCGTTTTCTTATTTAAAAATAAAGATAAGGAGCAGAGGATATCTTATACCCTTCTGTATTTAAGTTTTTACAATAAGCATGCAATACCCATATAATATGGGAGCCCTGGTAGCATAGTGCCTAAGGCATTTGACTGCTAACCAGAAGGCTGGCAGTTCAAACCCACCAGCCACTCCTCAGAAGGAAGATTGGGAATTAAGAGATAATACTTCTATTACAAGAATTAAATCCTGTATCATATGTAAAATTAGCACAGTTAGAGGAGACACAGTTATACTACAGCTTCTACTTAGTCAAAACAATGCACATGAGACAGGAAAGGTTTCATGGCAGATGTTTAATGAAGCATGGACAAAACATACTTACTGGCATAGAATTAACTTCCCTTTTACAATACACCATTTCTTTGCAGCTCCTTGCAACTGTGACCCTGAATCTCACAAATAATTACCAGACAAAGGATCAAGGAATTAGGGACTAGGCTTCTCATTAAAAATACCATTATAAATGCACATTTATAAATATGTATCATTATAAACACACTGTTTCAAAACAGTGAGGTTATCTTATTGATGCTCAATTTGACTCATCTTTGAATCAGTGGGAAGGTATTAATGTGTTTTGAGAGTCATTTTGACATGAAACAAGAAGTTCTTTTACATCTTCCTTGCTTTTCTGGGAAGGTCCAGGCTTATTGTGTGTATTTCCTACTTTAGACCAGGTATTAGCCATTATGGGAGCTCTGGTAGCACAGTGGCTAAGACACTTGCCTGCTAACCAGACGGCTGGTGGTTCAAACCCACCAGCCACTCCTCGGAAGGAAGGTTGGGCAATCCTACTTCCGTAGTGATACTGCCTCGAAAACCCAAGGAGGGGTCATTATGAGTCGGGTCCTACTCGATGGCACATAACAACAACAACAACATTAGCCATTATTTCCAAGAGGCTGTAGTTCCTGTTAGTGGGAATTTTTGGTAATAAAAGACCACAAATGTGGGTGCTCAGGGTGCTCACTTCTATTAAGTTGGTTATTATGAACTGGATTTCTTGTCATTTCTATTATTAGGATGGCACCACAGCTGCTTGGGCTGCTAAAATCTTTAGCAGATCTCCAGATAGGAAAACGCTGGATTCACCTTCAATTAAAAAAATATTTTAGCTGTCAGGGCTGAGTTTAAAGTTTAAATCTAGTTGTTGTTGTTTTTTGTTGCCGTCGAGTCAGCTCTGACTCACAGTGACCCTATGTCCAACCGAACGAAACACTGCCCACTCCTCCACCAGCCTCACAATCCTTGCTCTACCTGAGCCTACTGTTGTAGCCACGGTGTCAATCCATCTCGTTGAAGGTCTTCCCCTTTTTTACTTACCCTCCAATTTACCAAGCATGATATTCTTATCCAAGAAATGGTCCCTTCTGATAACATGGCCAAAGTAGGTGAGATGAAGTCTGGTCATTCTCCCTTCCAAGGACCATTCCGGCTACACTTGTTACACGACAGATTTGTTAGTTCTTCTGGCAGTCCATGGTACATTCAGTATTCTTTACCAGCACCACAACTCAAAAGCATCAATTTTTTGGTTTTCCTTATTCAATGTCCAGCTTTCACTTGCATATGAGGCTACTGAAAATATCATGGCTTGGGTCAGGCACACCTTAGTCTTCAAAGAGCATCATTGCTCTTCAGCAAAGAAATCAGTATCATCTGATTTCTTGACTGCTGCTTCCATTGGTGTCAACTGTGGAACCAAGTTATAAGAGATCTTTGACAATTTCAATCTTTTTTCCATTAATTGTGATACTGCTTATTGGTACAGTTGTGAGGATTTTCATTTTTGTTGAGGTATAATCCACACTATAGACTCTAGTCTTTAATCTTCATCAGTAAATGCTTCAAGTCATCTCCACTTTCAGCAAGCAACGTGTGTCATATGTATACCACAAATTGTCAATGAGTCGTACTCCAATCCTGATGCCGTGTTCTTCTTCATATAGTCCAGCTTCTCAGATTATTTTCTCGGCACATAAATTGAATAAATATAGAGAAAGGATACAACTTGGCACTCTCCTTCCTGGTTTTAAACTATGCAGTAGTTTTCTCTGGCTAGCACTAGAGAACCCCACCAGCCTATGGCACCTGAACAGATGTTAGCTAGGTAAAACTGGAAAATAAATTTCATTCCATGGGAAAAATAAATAAAAATAACAATGCAATATCCCCTCACTCGGTTTGAACAACAGCCTCCTGGTCTATGCACAGCTTCCTCATGAGCACAATTAAGTGCTCTGGAATTCCCATTCTCCTCAATGTTATCCATAATTTGTTATGATCCACACAATTGAATGCTTTTGCATAGTCAATGAAACACAAGTAAACAAATTTCTGGTATTCTCTGCTTTCAGCCAAGATCCATCTGACATCAGCAATGACTGCCTTGTTCCACATTCTCTACTGAATCCAGCTTGCATTTCTGGAAGTTCCTGGTCCACATACTGCTGCAACCGTTTTTGAATTATCTTCAGTAAAATTTTACTTGCATGTGATATTGCTGCTATTGTTTGATAATTTCCACATTCTGTGGGATCACCTTTCTTTGGAATGGGTACAAATATGGATCTCTTCCAGTCGGTTGGCTAGGTGGTTGTCTTCCAAATTTCTTGACCTAAAGGAGTAAGTGCCTTCAGCACAGCATCCATTTGTTGAAAAATCTCAATGGGTATTCTGTCAAGTCCTGGAGCCTTGTTTTTCACCAATTCCTTCAGTGCAGCTTTGACTTTTCCTTCAATATCATTGGTTCTTGATCATATGCCACCTTTTGAAATGGATGAACATCCACCAATTCTTTTTGGTACAGTGACTCTGTATTCCTTCCCTCTTTAGATGTTTCCTGCATCATTCAATATTTTGCCCATGGAATCTTTCAATATTGCAACTTGAGGCTTGAATTTTTTCTTCAGTTCTTTCAGCTTGAGAAATGCCAAGTGTGTTCTTCCCATTTGGTTCTCTAACTCCAGGTCTTTGTACATTTCATTATAATAACTGACTTTGTTTTTTTCATGCTATCCTGTGAAATCATCTGTTTAGCTCTTTTATCTTGTCCTTTGTCCCATTTGCTTTAACCAATTTGCTTTCTGTTCAAGAGCAAGTTTCAGAGTTTCTTCTGACATACATTTTGGTCTTTTCTTCCTTTCCTGTTTTTTTTAATGACCCTTTGCTTTCTTCATGTGTGATGTTCTTGAAGTCATCCTACAATTCATCTGGTTTTTGGTCATTGGTATTCCCATGTATCAAATCTATTCTCCAGGTGGTTTCTAAATTCAAATGGGATGTAATGAAAGTAATATTTTGGCTCTCATGGGCTTGTTTTAATTGTCTTCAGCTTCAACTTGAACTTGCATATGAGCAATTGATGGTCTGTTCCACAGTCTGTAAATTTTCACCCAAATCACAATAAAAAATAAATAAATATTGCAGAAAACACAGACTTAGTAACATAGGTGCTATCACTAGAAATCTAAGCCAGCTCTGCCTTAGGGCCATCTTGTTAGAAACTTCTGAACTATGAGAGCCATGTAGAGGAAGAAGTGAATGTACAGGCTAAGCACAAAGGAAGAAAGAGCAGAGGTCCAAGTAAATGCTAGCATGTACCTCCAAGAAAGTCACAGCAGCAGGAATATGGTATGCTGAAGGCCGGGGACACTGGTACAAGTAGTTGACTGCGTGCTATTCTCTAGAACTTCTATCTCAATGGATCTAGAACTTCTATCACCATTCATTCACTAGTGTGGTAGTTAAGTTGTGTGTCAACTTGGCTGGGCCTGGTTTTGAGTGACTGGGCAGCTGGATGTGGTGATCCCCCACGATGAGACTGGTTATCAACTCCATGGTGGAATCTACTAGAGCAGCTGAGTAGCTGATCTTAAGGATGTGGTCTGCTTCCAGTATATAAGCAGCAGCATTGAGAAAGGTCCCTGGAGCTTTTTGGCACACTTGGACCCTGCATGTAGCTGAGTTGTCATTCAGCAGCCTGCCATGTTGTCTGAAGAGCTTGGAACTGTCTCTGGAATTGAACTATTGGCCTGCCATGTTATTTGGTAATCTTGGGACTGTGCCATTTTACTGGTCATCAGCCTCAGCAGCCAGCAGCTACCTGAGTGAAGAGATGCCTCTAGCTCCAGTGAGCCGGGAATAAGAGGCAGAGCTGAAGCCCAAGGTTGAGGGGCCTGCACTTAGCTCCTAGAGCTTGGCACTTTGAACTCGGACTTCTAGCCTCCTAACTCGTAAGAGAATACTGTTTGTTACAACCACCCATTTGTAGTATGTGTTAGAGCTGCACTAGAGAACCAGTATAACTGGGAACACCTCTCAGAGGCCCATCTTGGGCATATCAAATCATTCTCTTTTGATCCTTTGCCCTGGACCTATGACATTCTGGTCCAGTTCTGTTCTTAGTTGTGACTGAGTATAACATGTGCATAATAAATCATCTCTTCTTCTGAGTCATAGCTGAAGAATTAAATAAACAAAAAACTGAGGGAAGGACTTCTGGTAAGATGGAGGAGACAAGCGACACAGACCCTCTTCAACAAAGAAAACAAAAACCAATGGACAGGGATACTGAAGATAATCCTGGAGCCACAAGCTTTGAAAGGAACTATACAGAAGTGGATTAGGTACCAATTAATGGAAAAACCTGAATGAAAACAGTGAATACAGAGATGGTCGGAGCTGAGGACTGTCAGCTACTCTGATGGGACCAAAGCCTGAATATTTCCAAGTAGTGTTGGGACCTGAGAGTTACCTAAAAATCAGCCCTGGTCACCAAGGGCTACAGGGATGTCTGCGCTGGTGGCCTGTGACTAGGAAGGGAAACAGCAAGTAGGGAGAAAACCTGAGC